AAAAATCCTAGCAAATAAAATACAGCAAATGATCAGAAAGATTATACACCATGACCAGTTAGGATTCATCCCAGGGATACAAAGATGGTTCAACATACACAAATGTAATACACTACATCAATGTAATACACTTTATCAATAGAGCCAAATCCAAAAACCACATGATCATCTAACTTGATGCAGAAAAGGCTTTTAACAAAGTCCAACACTTATCCATGATCAAAGTCCTACAGAAAGTTGGAAGACATGGCCTCTACATCAATGTCATAAAAGCCATCTATGACAATCCAACTAATAACATAATTCTAAATGCTAAAATATTGAAATCTTTTACTCTTAGATCAGGTACTAGGCAGAGATGTCCTCTATCACCACTTCTATTCAGTATAGTTCTGGAATCATTAGCTACAGACATTAGACAAGAGAAGGAAATAAAAGGAATAACAATAGGTAAAGAAGAAGTGAAACTATCCTTATTTGCAGATGACATGATACTCCACTTGGAAGACCCATAAAAGTCCACAAAGAAGCTACTAGAATTAATACAGAAATTCAGTAGCATAGCAGCATACACAAAGTCAATAGCCAACAGTCAAGAACATTCCTCTACACAGATAACAAACACACTGAGAAATAAATTAGAGAAACAATACCCTTTAGGATAGCATCACATAAAATGAAGTACGTAGGAATTAATCTGAGTAAAGAAGTAAATGATCTATTCAATGAAACTCAGCATTTTGAAAAACAGAAAGTAGAGGGTTTCAGAAAAAGGAAAGATATTCCTTGCTCCTGGATAGGATGAACCAACATTGTGAAGATGGTCATATGCCCAAATTATTATACAGATTTAATGCAAGCCCTATCAAAATATCACCAACATACCTTACAGACCTAGAGAATAATTCTTAAAATTTATTTAGAAACAGAGAAAACTTAGATGAGCAAAGGAAATCATGAGCAACAAAGGCACAGCAGGAGGCATTACAATCTCTGAATTGAAGGTCCCTACAAAGCTACTATGATACAATCAGCATGATTTGGTTAAAAAAATAATAAACCTGTGGAGCAATGGAATAGCTTAGAAGATGCAGACACAACTACAAACACACTCAGCCACCTTATCTTTGACAAACGGGCCAAATATGTTCACTGAAAGAAAGATAGCCTCTTTGGCAACTGGTACTGGAAAGTCTGGCTCTTTATATGCTGAAAACTAAAACTTAACCCAGGTCTATCACCAGGCACTAAACTGTATTTAAAATGGAGCAAAAATCTAAACATTAAAACAGAAACACTAAATCTCCTGGAAGAGAAAGTAGTTGGAAATCTTGAAGACATGGGGTATGCAAACAGTTCATGAACAAAAATCAAATTGCACAGGAAATATTTGAAAGAATTAACAACTGGGACTTCCTTTTATTGAGAAGTTTCTGCACATCAAAAGAAAATACCAACAATGAAAAGACAACCGAGAAATTCGGAAAAAATCTTAACTAATAAGCACTCCAACAAAGGTCTTTTATCTACAATTTATAAATAACTAAAAAAACATTAGGGACTCAAATTGGAAGACCCAATCCAAAAATGGGCATCTGAAATGAATACATACTTCTTTGAGAAAGAAATGTAAGAAACAAATAAATGCACACAAAAAAAATGCTCCATATCACTAGCCATTCATGAAATGAAAATTAAAACAACACTGAGATACCATCTCACCCCAGAAAGAAAGGCTATCATAAAGAAATCAAACAAAAACAAACATTGGAGAGGCTGCCAGGAAAAAAAGAACCCTTCTTCACTGCTAGTGGGAATGTAGACTGGTGCAACCATTATGGAAATCAGTATGGAGACTGCTCAAAAAACTAGGATGCAGTCCAAATAGCTCAGTGGATTAAAATGCCAGCTTACGCAGATGCAGTAGCCAGGTTTCATTCCCTGGCATGTCATGCTAGCCCTGCCTACCAACACTTGCTGAGAGGACGATTGAGACTGGGCATGGTGGCACTCACTTGTAATCCAAGCTTTAAGGA